TGGAAACATGTGATAATAGTACAAAACAATCCCCCAAGTGATTATCAAAAGGCCGTTTTTGTTTTTATTGTTTTTTCTTTAAAAAAGCCGTCAGAGGAAACATTATTTTGCGAATGTAGATACAATCGATCATACGATGTGACCATTCATATGAAAACACTACTATTCCGCAGTTATGCTCAGTATCACTTGGCAGAAACTAATTTTCATTATTCTACACGACATGATGTTATTCTTGTATTTCGCATTTTGGGTAACGTTCATTGTTAGAAGAGGTTAGTTATCTCTTGTGTGATTCCTTTACTAACGTTTTATTTTCAATCCCAGTGTTGGTTCCAAAACCGGTGTAGCAGATCGCGGAAAAAAACGCCGAGGCCTACCAGAGACACGCCCATCCAGCCGCCATTCATACAGCCCACTATGAACCCGCCAATTGCAACGCCCCAGTTCATCACGCAACAGCTACTACAGCCCACTATGAACCCGCCAACGGACGACGTTTTTCAGCAACACAATATCATGGAAGGGCTAATACAGCCCACTATGAACCCGCCAACGGACGACGTTTTCCAGCAACACAATATCATGGAAGGGCTAATACAGGCCACTATGAACCCGCCAACGGACGACGTTTTTCAGCAGCTAACGTCATTGATCGCCCAAATACAATAGCTGAGGCTGAAAGTTTGAAAAGGACTCAATGTTGTATGTTGAAAATCCGTAAATACAGTACAATTATAAGACAATTCCTTTACTCCAACGGCGCTGGAGACAGATCTAGAGACAGAATACTGGCAATTGAAATATGGTCTTGGGTCATTCTTTAATATCATCATAGGTTAAGAAGACTTGCCAGTAACGGTTTCCGGCATTTTATAGTAAATTTCAGTAATTGCCTACATGTGGAATTCCCAATATTAAATAAAATTAATGATTACATCTACAGGTAAAACTTTGTCAACTGTTTGCTTTTTAACAGTACCTGGGCCAGGTTGTTCAAAGCTAGGTTAAGATAACCCAGGCGAGGAGGGTTAGTGCGAAAATTGAACTCAGATGTGAAAGTTTCATTTTGCCAACAATTTGATGATTGGACGTTCTTGATAACTGAGAAAATTATACAAAGAAATGTTTCTTAACAAAAGAAAAAGAAACTCGGGTTAAGCGCTGATCGGCCCTCGAACAACTGCGCCCTGTAGAACATCTATTGCGCCAGTAAAACAAAAAGTTCTTTTTACACGCCCGAAGCACTTTGGCCAGTGTCTCCTCAAATAACAACTATATGATATCACGCTGATCACTAGCCTTCAAAACCTTTTCATTATCATACACAGTTTAAATCGACGTCTCGCTGCACGCAACCCTTGCGTTCGAAACATGCCATAATCATAGTTATCTATCGCAAGAACCATCCACCCTTTCCCCTCAACTGCTACCTGTATGCCTAGCAAACATATCGAACGCACTCTTCTAAGCTCCGATTACTCCTAGTTATAACAACACTACTCATTTCGCAAAGAAATCTTTCTTCTGAAGGCTTTTTTAAAGAAATATTGCAAAAAAAAACATAGATATAATGCAACACTGTGCTGTTCATTCTTCAAGCCATACAAAATATCACACTAAACACGATTAAAAAAAACAGGCTATAACTTTTTAAGACAAAAGATATGTTGACCAAATTTTGGTTTTTCATTGGTTTTTCACTCTTCAATAAGACATATTTTAGTTAAACTTACAAATTGTCTGATTTGTTAACCTCCGATTTTTCGAAAAACCCTGGCACCTTTTACTTACTAAACTTGGAACAGGCATGGGCGTAGCCAGGATTTTTCAAGGGGGGGGGGGGAGGTTACAGCAGGGACACCATCTGGGGATCGCCGACTATATATAGTTTATACCGCTGCTCTCCCTCGTGTATCAGCGGGCTCAGTCGTATTATCGCGGCATGAAGGCCCATATTAACTAAAGACAAGAGCCGTTGACGAAAATACTTCACTGCTTGGTCCTCAGCAGGGGAAAACATTTTCTGACAACGATCTGAGATATTGAAGCGAAATTCTCAGGGAAAAACGCCCTATTTGTTTCAGTAGTGTGAATTACGCTTCGATCAGTCAAGTTAAAAAATAAGAAAGAACACGAATCGCGCACACCTTATTCCTTTCTTGCGTTTCAAACGCTAGCTGTTAATTTAATTTGAATCAAGATTAATTTCACTCGTCTGCGCCTAGTAACATAAAAATCACATGGTCCAGAGAAGTTCAGTTTGAACACACGATTAATAATAATAATAATAATAATAATGATAATAAGACCCCCTAAAATCGAATCCGGCGAAATATGAAGTCAAATTGTAATCGAAATAGGTCTAATCTGTCAAATTATCTTCTGTCCGACTCTTTCCACAGAGTTTTAGGTGGAATTTAACAGCAAATTTAGCGGTCTTAGTTTTCGTAATTTCGAAAACAAAGACCCCTCTTAGTTTTCGTTATTACAAAAAGATTTTTTATCAATTTTCAATCGTCGAAGAGTGGGCGAGTGGGTAAATAAAGCAAACTTGTCAAGTTAAAGGCTGAAGTTACTTCTTTCAAGTACGTGATTGCGTAATTAAACAAATGACCTTTTCACAACTCTTTCTGTTATTCATTGCTAGTTTCCTGGGAAGAAAATTTGACTCTTCGCAAGTAGAACTCGCGCGGACCAAAGCGTAGCCTGCGAGCGAGCTCTCTGCGTGGGTGAGGGGGATTCTAACCATAGCGTAAAATAATTTTCGCAAGGTACAGTACTGTCTCGGTTTTTAAGGGGGGGTCTATATATATGTATGGAACCCAATGTAAAGACCCCTGATGAAGGCAGACGCTGAAACGCGTTGGGTCTGAATAAAGTTTTTATTTGTTGGAAGACGACCGTTCAAAGACTATAAGCCGTAAAACAACCAAAAACTATCATCCGCGTGCTGACGATCCGCTTCTTCTAAAATTTGCAAACATATCACTATTGAGGCTTTAAAAAGAGGACGAAAAACCATAATTGTACACTGAAAATATTCCTCACCCCACCAATATTATTGGTCTATAATTTTGGTTGTTTACCGTTAGAAATCGTAAAATTGGCTTTCCACATGCTGGAGATGGATTTTTGCCTTCGTGTCTCAGCGACCGTGATTGCGTAGTACTGGCTAAAAATAAAAAAAAGGGGGGTGTTCTGTTTGGATTGTTTGCTTGTTATATTTTTTCTAAAATTAAAACGCAAAATTTTTTAGATGATGCCTTGCTAGTTTAGGAAATTTATTCATTCATTCATTGTTTATTAAATAAGTGCTTTTAGTATCCCTCACAGACTATTTCTCCTTGCCCCAAACCTACCCCTTAACTACCCCTTACATTGTAACTTTTCACCTTGTTTCCGGTGATCTCCGGGGTGGGAATGATAAAAATATACTGTTAAAAAACGCAATGTAGTATTAACTCTTTTATTCGCTCTTTCTAAGAAAGCATTTTTGTGGCTATGGCCTGGCCAGGCCTTGGCTATCGGAACCGGTTATGATATATTCAGGAAACGCCGTCAGGGTTGGAGTGAAGTTCTCGCTCCGTTACAAGAACCAGGGTGAACTCACGCCAAGGTGACTCGCGCAGCCATGAAATTTTGTGGTGGAATCATGTAAACAAATATAGAGCCATGAGATGGAACCGGAATCAACTCGCTCAGGGGTGCCCCAGTGTCATATAAACACCCCCTAAGAGGGGTCTTTGTTTTCGAAATGACGAAAACTAAGACCCTTAAATTTGCTGTCAAATTCGACCTAAAACTCTGTGGAAAGAATCGGACAAAAGATAATTTGACAGACTAGACCTATTCCGATTACAATTTGACTTCATATTTAATTTCGACGGACTTGATTTTAGGGGGTCTTAGTCTTCGTAATCGGGTCTTAGGTCTTAGTTTTCGTAACCACCCGCCAATTTTGTTAGGTTGGTTCTCGCAAAATCGGCTCGATACAAATATGTATTTAATATAAATCATAAACGATGGCTATTTTGATCACGCTTTCACGATTGCGTTACATTTCCGGTGACGGGTGGGAGAGAGGACCTGGGAACGAGGTTGAGAAAGGTCTGTTTCGGCGCCCACAAAGAAATGGCTAGCAGTTTTTTATTATTTTCAAAATGGCGGTTCATATCGTGTCGAGAAGGTAAGACGAAAAAATTTGTTATTCATGTGTTCAATCTGAACTTATCTTGACCATGTGATTTTTATGTTGTGAACCGTGTTAAAAAGATGAGACCAGAGACTATTTTTTCCCTATTTTTGGCTTTGTTTTGTCTGTTATGAAGCTCCAAAATACACCCGCTTCCGACAGAAAGCAAAAACGAAAAAGGAAAAGAAGAGAAAGAAAGAAGGAGAAGAAGAAAAATGGGGCAGGGATGCACCGAACCACCGTTCTTGCGATCTCCATCGTCCACTTTACACACAAAAAGCCGATTGCGCCACGGCGGCACACAATACAATTTAGTTCACGATAACGTTTAATAAATCGCTTTGTATTCATATCAGGCTTAAGCAGGCGGTGTGCGTCACGAGATTTAACCAATCAGAATGCGTTATTTTCGGAGTAGATTTCGTGCTCGAGAAGAGCAGTTTTGAGAGGTACACGAGTTGAGATTTTCGTCGTTTTTGAAGATTGTAATCATTTTTTCTTAATCAAAATTCGCTATAAAGTTAGCGAATTAATTTATCTTAGTGCTGGTGCAGTTATTTTTTAAGAAGAAACGTTTATTCGGCTTTGCGACCATTTCAAAGGTGACGGTCTCGTGTGAGACGCCATGTTGTTTTGGTTGTAAATTTCACTGCTTTTCTTGGACTTGTAGCTCCTTACTGTTATTGATTGTTGTCAATATTTTTCGGTCCGTTAGTGAGTTTAAGTAGTCTTCTTTGACAATTTCGGGGTCTACCGGGTCTACCCGTCGGGTTTTCCCGCTAGAGGCCGTGGAGGACACACTGGTATGAAGAGATCGACCCAGCCAAGTGGCTCCACTCCCGGGAAACCGGCTGGTAAAGTCAACAGAACTGGAGGTCAAAATAACATCAAATCGAGAAAGAATTTGTTTAATTTCAAGCCAGAAAAGGTAAAAAGAGTCGAATTACACGAATTCCTTCTGATTTTGTATTTGAGTCAGTTAAATGGTCTTTTATAAGATACTTATTTGTCATTATTGAAGAATGTTTTTCACGTGTGAATAAATTATACATGTACAAATGTAGCCTCCAACAAGAGATTGGCCAGTATCCATAGATTGTGGATTAGAATCCATTATTTCTTGTAGTTTTACTCAGATAACATTAGCAGTAATTTTATGTTTTCACACTCGCACTGTGATGAAATGAAACATTTGACAAAAAATTTAAAAAAAAAATCATAAAATAAAGTGTGGCTTTAGAGATGTTACACCAGCCACCTCCACCACAGGGTTTATCAAGGATGTCTTTTTGTTTGTGTGTTTTTATGTAGGTTTACTTATGTTACCATTTATTTAATATCTTCAAGGTCCCTCATCCACCTCAGTCCCCAGTTTGGTCTGTGGAGGAAAGGCGAGCATTGGTTGAGTATATTGCTCTATTTACCCCAGTGGAACAAGATCAATTGTTTAAATGGCCTTCTTTCAAAGACATCAATTTCTGGGAAAAATGTGCAGATGCTCTGGCCTGTACAACTGGAATGCCACGACGATCAGGTAAACATATTTCACCCAGGCCGTAGTAGGGCATAATTTTTGGTCGGCAGGATAATAATTATATGCAAGAGGTTTGTCCCCTAGTGGCGGTGGTGATAATGATGATGATATTGATGATGTCTGGGTTGTTTGCTCTTAGTCATTCAAAACATCAGCTTTTGAATACATTGATAGTGTCGATCTCCCTACACAACTCAACTAGTTATTTTATACAATGTAATAACTCTGTAATGAAGAGATTATAACATAGTGGAGCAGGCCTGATAGTGGTTTGTCTTAAAATAGGGTGGAGGGAAGGTAGCAGTTGCTGAAGGTTTTAGTTCAAAAGGAACTTACAGTGGCTTACAGTAAGTGAGGTGAAACAAACCGATTTATATTTTCTTTTCTTTTTCAGGGAGTGCATGCCGTTATCAGGTCAACTCCTTCCTGCGTAAAAGGTATGCAACACTGGAGGAAGCAGAAGATGACCTCCAGGTCAACTATTTTAGTGGTGGATTGCAAGACATTCATTATGAAAATTCATCAACACTAACATCTCCTGGGAATGTAAATTCGACTCCACAGGCGATGCTTGAGAAGAACACCCCATTATCTCCAATATTGGCGCACTCTCCACATGCCAATTCAACAAACCATGAGACATACAATCATGGAGATACCATTGCCAAGGTTATTAAACTGTTGACATTGATGACTTCGCGTATGAGAGGGGACTTGATCCAGAACTTATTTTGGCAGTTCATGTTTTTAGAACTTGATCATGATTTTCGAGCATTTATTCCTTCTGACTTTATTAAACTATGCTGCAAGGGCATTAATGTACTTCATAGCAATGGCAAAGAAAATGTTCTTTATTACTTGGCCAGGGGACTTGGAATGTCACGGAAAGATGGTTCAGGTCCACGGCTCCCTATTGACAAGATGCCGTTTGGATTATTAAGCTACAATATTCGCTATTTTGCTATGGACACTGTGAACAACATTTCATCAGACCCCCATTTTGTGGAGTGGGAGACAACTATGTTCTCCAACTTTGGTCATAAATGGATTTGCTTACAGAGGGGACCAGGGTTTGCCTATGATGAGACTGTTGTTGATGATTCCTCAGCTGCAGCTTGTAATAGCACCAGCAACACAAACAGCAGTGAGCAAGGTTCCTCAAGTATCCTTCAACAAGCATGGAATGAAACATTTCAAGTGGGTACCCAGAATGGGGTACAAGATGAGGTTGAAGACCAAGATACCACTAGAGAGAAAGTTGGGGCAGATGACTGCCTTGATGTAGAAACCCTTGTTGACACAGATGACCCTCTTGAGGTTGGAGCCATTGTTCAGACAGGAGATGGGATTGAGGTTGAAACTGTTGTCGAGGCAGGAGACCCTCTTGAGGTTGGAACCATTGTTGAGGTAGGAGATGGGCTTGGGGTTGAAACAATTGTTGAGGCAGGATATGGGCTTGAGGTTGAAACCCTTGTTGAGGCAGAAGACGAGCTTGAGGTGAACGACCAGGTCAATGAAGAAGTGAGCTACCTTTGGGCACGACTTGGTTCTGAAGAAAAAGAACAAATTGCAAACGGCGATAGACCAATAGAACTGGAAACATTTCATGGTATTCGCCCACAGGCACATAAAAAGAAAAGGACAGAAGTGGATCCGATGAAAGCTAAAGTCAATGTTGCAGGTCATTCTGTAAGGACTCTTCAACGTCGTATACAGGCTGCTGAGTTTTCAAGAGACACAAATGTTCAGGTGAGTGCACATATGATTAAATAGATATGAAATATATTTGAAAAACATATATATATATATAATTATACTCCAAGAGCTAGGTTATTCGAACATTTACTGCAACTCTGAGTTTCATGCTTCTTCTTGCGAAGCAATCTTCAGGCAACAAAAAATGTAAATGTTCGAATAACCTAGCTCTTGGAGTATAATTATTCTTAGCTCTAGCTCTGCTATTGAGCACTTTATAGTAGATGAGGATTTCTTTCCACTTGTTATTCTTTTTTTCTTGCTAGGTCGCTGTTCTTAAGAAGATTAAAGAAAGAAACAAAAACGGACGTTGGTGGATTAAAGCAGATGCATGTGACCTGCGAAAGGGACTGCGTGAGTCAATGCGTCATGAGTGGGCAGGAGATTGTGACCTGGGAGATGGAAAGCTTCAAACTTTATATCAGGAATACATGGACAGAAAAACCTTCTATGGTGGATTAGGACTTAAGGATCGAAGAGTAAGAATGAAAGAAGATATGGCGCTTGTGATTTCTGGTTTGGATAACGATTTAAGGTTTCTGGTTGGTGGAGAGAAAGCTGCAAAAGACAAGTATGCAGCTAAACAACGTCAGTCAAATGCTTCTGAAGATGGCATGTTTGCATTGGCTTGGGAGTGTGAATGCTTCCAGACTCTCATTAACATTAACAAAGACCTAAAGTCTTCAATTTCCAGCCTGCACTTAAGAATTTCAACAAACCAGAGAGATGGTAATATTGCTGGTGATCTCACTTCTTTACGCCAAAGGCTTCTTTCCTATGCTAAGGATCTTTTTTCCAAGCATAGAGAAGCTGCCTCTCATCTCATGGTGTTCATGATAGCCGATGAAAACGCGACATGAAGCCCTATGCTGTTCCTGTAACGATTTATACCTTACCACAGTGTGACTGACAATAAACTGCGTGAACTGTGTATGGAGCTACGGAGTGCCATGGTAAATTTGGGAATGCTTGTGGTTGGTGAGTTAAGATTTTTCTTTAATTGTCTCTGTTAACTACCTTAAGTTTATACAACAGAAAGGGGCTGCTCTGCTGCTTAAAAGCCACCTTTCTCAGACCAGACTGGCATAGCGCTGAGTATATTGGTACTTTTAGAGTGCATAGAGCCTGTTGAATTTTTAAATAATTGTCATTTTTTTACTCAGCAACTGAATGGTGATTTGCATCTTCACCCGCCCACCCCCCCACCTCCCAAAATTGTAATTTGAAATAAGCCAAACAACAATTTATTTATCTGATTTTTTGTTTGTTTTAGGCACTGTCACAGATGGAGAATTTAACTCCATCCGCACTATGGGATCAAAAGAGCTATTTCCATAATTCAAGTGATGATGGATTCAAAGTCAGAGGCTAGAAGCACCAATGTTAATGCCATACGGAGGTATTTCACACCAGTTGCAGTCCCAGGTAACTTTTCTTTAACTGATGTTTTATCTATGCCAAAATCTGACCACTGGAAATTCTTCACTATCATATGTGTGTGTGTGTGTGTGTGTGTGTTGTAGGTGGAAATGAAATTCAGGTTAAAATGATTTCAACCTAGATTGATTTGAATCTCCTTTGTTTGAAGAGGCAATTCGCATGTATTTTAAAACCTTAACTTTTCTTCCTAACAGGTGCCAATGGGACATTTTCTGTAAGAGGTCAGGCTCAACACCCAGCCATTCCGGTTGAGGACATTGTATGGCTTTATGACTTCATGAATGCTGATGGCAATCAAGTACCATTTGAAAGCGCCATCCACATTTTAAAACGGAAGCTGTTTCCTGCCAATTATGACCCTTATCCTTGGGATGCAAAAAGTATATGCTGTAGTTTGTAATATCTTTCTTGTTTTATGAGCACTATTACCCTCAAATGGTACGGCATGAAGTCCAACTACTAATTTAAAATTGCATATTAAATAACAAAATTTAAAAATGAAATTATTATTACATTAAATCTCTGCCTGTGCACGGGCTGTTATAGAGGATCAGTAGGGCCAGTTTATAGGCTACCCATGGCCTAAGGTGCCATGTACTGTCAATGTACCTTTCAGTTCTATTTATCATTTATTTTCAATTGTTTCTTTTCCTTTAAACAGTGGCTGAAGAGGATACCAAAGGTTGTCTTAAGTCTTTGATGGCAACATACTTGTTCCGCTACAAAATAAAACGAATGAAAGAAGAATTAAATGTGGACTTCAGCAAACACCTTTACCAGCCTGAATTGTGTGATGTCACTGGGGAATACATACATGAGAGAGAAGACCACAACCATGTTCTTAAACGTATCACTGAATGTCTTCGTGCAGGTGAAATCCCAGGGGTTGACACCCGCTACTTCAGAGATGCCCTGCATGATGCTCATTCAGGTTAATAACAATTATTTGTGTTGTGTGCGTAGTCTATTAAAGGCCCTTGTTCATCCAAAATGCAATGTGCGCCCCAAGCTTATTTTTTGCACTGATGGAAAATCTAAAAATTAACGTTCCAGGCAATCATAATGCTACATTGAACAATTGAACCTGTTTTAAAACAAAAACACAAACACACACAGCAGATTGGGTGAACATGTACCTTTAATCATGATGTTTTGATAATAATGATTCATTTGACCCCCTCTGGGTTTAAATGAATTCTTGTATTCATACCTGTGTACTACAGGTATATTGATGACATAGAAAATGGCATTCTGACATTTCTTGCTTTGATTATTTTTTGATAGTTCGTGAAAGGGTTAATAGCCTTTTTTTTTTGTCTTTTCACATTATCCTTATATGAACTGATGTAATTCATTCTAATAATTACTATCCCTTTAACTCCCAAGGGTGCCAAAGAAAAAAAATTCAAGAAAAATACCAGATTTCATTTTGTAAAATATTGAAAAACTAATGTTTCCGTAAAAAATGTACTGCTGAAGAGGTTTCATTTGAATGGTCACACCATACGATTTTGTCCACAGACTCAAAAGTTAGAACTAGTGCTTTACATGTCTCCATAATTATTGACTGTGGAAGTGAAAGGGTTAATATTATTAATGTTCTTGTCATGACCATGACAACAAAATTGCTTTGACCTACCACATGTACATTTTTTTCTTTCACTGAAAATTTCTCCAAAATACAAAAGGAATTTGCTTACATACAAAATATGTAATTGAGCAGTATTTAAAAAAGGAATATCAAAAAGTTTTTGGAAGCCTCAGCAACGGCATTTTTTTTAAATACAGGTTTAACTTATGAGGCTTTAACTGGAAAACAGAAACAGTCAGTACCACATTGTGAACAGGTGTTTTCAAAGGGTGTACTGGAGTTCATGCAAAGGAATGGCCATACTTCAGAGGCACACTTTGTTGAAACTGTTCAAACTGGCATAAGGCGGCAGATGGACGGGGACTATCAGAGGAAACACGGTCAAAGTATAACAATGACATGATCAATTTTCTGTTGACTGATTGGATGCCCTGGCATGAGTACGAAAGGGACTTTTCAACTATTGATGTCATGCGCCCTATAAAGGGTATTAAAGGTTTCACTAGAGAAATTGTGGTTGCTTTGATTGCGAACTGTGAAAGCCTTGAACTCCGTCGAGCAGAGTATCAAGAGAGAGGTTTGCCCCTCGAGCACCCACGTGCAAGCAGCACAGATGACGTTGAAGGTTTTCATTGCACATCTCCATGATCAACTTGGAGATGTGTTTGACCACAAGGAATTTTTAGAACAGCAACCCAAAATTCTAAATGAGTTTACCAAGAAGATAGACCCAGAGCTTCAATTTTACTACTGGACAGGACACCGACATCGATTCACAACTGCCCCACTGCCTTCCTTCAATGATGCATCAGGTCAAACAGAAAGATTGGACAGGGTTAGGTTGTCAAGACGTTCTGATCCAGGGGTTTTTGTGGCAAATAGGGCATCCTTGCCACAAAGAAATTCTCTGACAGTCAGGGCTTCATTTCACAGAGCACCAGAACAATTACCTCCACCACCAACAGTGTAGCATAAGTTTATTAACTTATAGTTTTGCATATTGATGTTAGCCTTAGTAAACTAAAATTGGGACAAAGATAATGCACTTTTCTAACTTATTTACATTTACACGTGTAAAGTTTTACTGGACTTTTCTTGAGGCCCTGACAACTTTGGAGCTCCAGGGTCCCTTTTTACTGATATTTAAGGTTACATAAAAGCCAACTAACAAGTAGTTTACTCTAAAGTTTAATCGTGCAACAGTTACTTTGATGTTGTTTCTTTCAATGATAGGGTGTATGTCACTTGTTAACTCTTTGGCAATGTAACCAACTTTGTTCCAACCACTACCACAGTTTATTAATACGGCTATTGCATTTTGGTCATAATCATTTTCAGGCTCTGGTTGGAGCTGCGCTTGTACATCTTTGTTATTTTCCAAACACTCGTATGCATTTTTAAGGATAATTTGTCGTCCTTTATATGCAGTACCAAGTACTTTGAAAGGAACAGTATGCTCAATTTCTGAAGAATCGTTCTCCTCATTTGAATCATCAGAATCATCAGCATTAACAATTGAATGATCCTCCGGCTCTACTGGTTCAGACCGTCTAAATTCCCAAATGACCAAATATGTGATGTTTTCAACCACAATGTTACACCATTTTTGAGCAATGATTTCATCTCCACATTTTGTCCGTCCACTGTCATCAGCTTGGAATAGCATGAGGCCACCCTGTCCTTCTACCAGTTATAGAAACAGTTCCTTTTACAAATTCTATCGTCAGAACAGGGAATGACGGAATAGTCCACTCAATGTTATCTTGTCCAAGACTTGAAACTGTTAATGCCAGGTCTCTAGGCTGCCACAAACCCTTCTACAGAAAAATGGTTGTAATAAAAAGCATTCCTTATAGAGTACTAAAGTGATGACGTCATAAAAATGAAATTTCTGAAATTATGGGATTTGTCAGGGTATTCTGAAAGAACAATGTCCAAGAGACCTACTTGCCAAAAATGAGCATTTTGGGGCAAATTGTCTCTGAGATCGTAGCCCAGTTATACTCAGAAAACTCCCTACAAACCCCCTCTAATTTTTTCTTGGGTCGACCCAAAAAATATTTAGAAGGGTTTGTATGGAATTTTGTAAGCATAACTAGGCTACGATCTCAGAGACAATTTGCCCCCAAATGCTCATTTTTGGCAAGTAGGCCTCTTGGACATTGTTCTTTCAGAATACCCTGACAAATCCCATAATTTCAGAAATTTCATTTTTATGACGTCACACCTTAGTACTCTATTTCATGCTGTATAAGTATTAGTATAAATTATGTAACTAAGTGCACTGCATGTGAATAGCTGTGATGAGCAAGCTTGTTTAGTATATTTCAATTAATAATGGTGTCCTTAGTTATTTTTTGTCTTTCTTCAGTTCTTTTTGGATTAAAGGAATGAAGAAGGAAGCATTTTCTTGAGAATTAGTTATTTGTCACATTCATGTGGGATGAACTGAAAAAGGCCAATGTTATAGCACATTTTTATTCCACAATAGAAACTAAATGATTGTAAATAAGCCACTTCTAAAAACAACACATGGTCAAGAGTTTAGAAGGTCACTTGAGACTTCTCAGTATTTTATCTGTAATGTTTAAGTTAAAAGTTTTTCTGAATAAAAAAATAGTTTAAAGATGTGATGCATACTCCGCTTTATCAGTTAATAAAATAGAAAGAATAAATTAGTTGTTAGCATATAATTTACCTTGATGGGAAGTGCAAAGGTATTCCTGATAGTTGTGCTCTCCTGGGATCAACATTACCCACAGCAAGGTTAACTGCATACTCATTTGAGAGAAGGCTAATATGATATTAAGTAATCAACAAAACACAATAAATGGATTATTTTCTATCTTTGAAAAGCTAGTTTTTAAAATGCATAAAATGATTTTCAAAAGACCGTGAAACAGTTACTAAGTTAGTAGGCACTAGTACACACTATTAGACATTAATTCCATGTTTTCTTTCTTTCATTGTTTTCATTGTTTTAGCTAATTTTGGCTAATTTTGATTAATTGCTAGATACTGTTTCACGGTCTCATGAAAATCACTCTAATGAAACTGTACAACAACTGACTATCTGATTTTACACAGTTTTCAGCACACCATCAATTCAAATCCAATTATTGTAAATTATTCCATGTGAATGCCATACAGCAAAAATTCTCAGGCTACTTTTTAAATACTTAATTTCGTTTATGAAAATATTTTTTAGAATAAGAAATTCTTTTAGAATAAGAAATTCTCTCGCCCAGACAATCATAGCAGATAAAAAACAGTGAGCAAGAGCACTTATAGTGAGTAATTATAATTACTTAAATTGGATACATTCCACAAGGGTTCAGAAAAGCTTCCTTATCTGGTGTTTGTCCCCAAGGCGTAAGTGGCATGGTTTCTGCATTTATAGGATTAATCACTGTCTGGTGACGAAATATTGCCTTGGCCCTTTGAAATCCACTACTGTAGTCTGACGGGCAAATCGATTTTCTCTGTAAAACAGCTAAGAAATCTGTTTTTTCTTTTGTCACGAGCTTGTGGGCAGTATGGATACCAATGCCACGTACATTTTCTAAGTAGTCACAACCTGCAACAATGCACATGTCCAGGAATTCTTCCTGTGTCAGTGACAAATGTTGCAACACCTTTCCTAACTCGATTACTTCACACACACCATCGAGTCGCAACTTGAACAAAACCTATAGATAGATAGGGAAATTAGGGGTGTTCAGGGAAAACCCTTCCTTATTTTTATTCATGGTCTTTTGTGTTCAACGGAGAAAACCAAAGGTAATAGTAATAATAGTATATGCATTTATATTGCACAGGCTTCATGAGTATACCTGTATGATCGCCTCGCAAAACATTGAGTTCATAAAATAAAAAATGTATACAATTTATAACTAATTCTAAGTGCTACTAATTTCAAATTGTTACTTGTACAAATTAATAAAATTGTATAATCGAAAAAAAAGAACCTAATGACAATAAAAAGAATAAGAAAATGATTAAAAATTACAGAAAGCCTCTAAATTTTTTTTTCAGTAAAACCTTTAAAGTGTTCAGAGATCTGCTGCTATTTGCAATTGGGTTCTAGTTTATGAAATTAATAGTTACGATATAAAAAGGACTAAAACTATAAGCTTATAGTTCATTCTGTTGAAAATCAAGTAAACACAGCCAGGCTTTGAATAAGCATTTGGATGATAAATTGTATGGGTTATTCAATGTACCTTTTGGCATCCATAAGCAAGAAGGTCGGAATCCTCTGAGATTGCAATATCTACATAGCTGTAACGCCTTCCCAGTTGTTTTGTTTAACACGTGACCCGGTCACGCGCATCCGGGTTTTCAGTTTTTTGTAAGCTCGACTAGAGAGCGGAGTGTTTTTGGCAACGTCGCCCAACGCAGTTCTTTAGGCTTCGCACGAAGCATGTTGTAATAGCCATTACAGTCTTTGACGGTCCCTTCGGTCCGTTAACATCTTGTGAACCAGCATTAAACGGAACTAAGGATCTTGTTAGACGTTTTGGTCATTGTGGAGTGAACCTTTCAGAATTTCTGCAACGCATGTTGCCCTCGCGCCGCCTTCACCCAAAAGCGGTCGCTACAGTCAAAGACTCGTATTTACCTCAAGGAACTTTGAAGACTCCTGTTTAATCTGAGGAACTCCAACGAATTGTATTTACGCCGAGGAACTTTACCATGGATTCAGCAAAATTCGATGATAAACACGAGGATACCGGACTCGGGCTAACCTTCGTGTCGAGACCAGAGGAATTTCTCATCGAGAAGAGCGAAAAAAACACACCTCAAGCCCAGCTCACGAAGAAATCGTCGACTCAACAAAGACTGAGGTTAGCTCATCTGTTATTTTACCGGATAATGTGTCTTTACGTCCAAAAATAGAGGAAATTTCATCGACACAAATGCCGACATTATTGTCGATTCGAGTAACACTAGGCCCAGGACCCTCACGGCCAAAGGGCGGGAATACAAATGTGGCTTGAAGAGAAGCGCTGCGATAGATAACGACCGTCAGTTTCGCTCTAAATTAGACACTTTTAAAGAGCAAATCCTCTCAGGCAAAGATCCTAAGGAAATTAAGGAAGATATTTCAGCTTTGATCAAGGAGTTAGACATTGTCTTACAAAGTTTTGACCAATGGATAGAGCTATCAGATGATTCGGATGAAACTCATCAGGCCACAAGTAAACAAGCTTATCTGCTTGACACATGGAAAGCAGTTCATGATACAGCCGTGAAAGAAATTGACAAATTACAAAATGATGCAGCCTCTATCACATCTCAAAGGTCCCACCGTTCACGAAGTCTCGAAAGGGTCGGGATCAAGTAGAAGTTCTTGCAAGGAGACCCTGCTTGAATTTCGAGCTAAGAGAGCAGCCCTAGAAGAAACGTTGAAGTTTTCAGCAGTTATTGCCGAACAAAAACAGAAACTGGAACAGTTGAAAATACAAAAAGAACTTGGAGAAGTCACTGCACAAGAGCAAGTCTACCAAAAAGCAATGCAAGAAGAAAACTGTCTGCAGTCGCCTGCACTGCCGACAGAAACCTATGATCCAATTTCCACCTTTATTGCCAGCAATAATGCTGACGAATATACGTCTACACCGGTGCGCCTGCTACAACGCTCTTTGACACTAGAACACCAGTGACTAAAGTGACAGTGACGTCATCGTCCACACCACTTGACGTTGTATCTGTATCTTTGAATCAAGGCCCTCAAGGATCAACCAATCGAATCTCACACTCTACCACTGCAACCACCTTCAGCTTAAGAGGACAAGCTCCTCCAGTTTACACATCGCCTGCGTGTACTATGTCCCAAATTGGACTCACACCTCCAAGAGGTTTTTGCGGAAATTTTCCAGCGTTTGTACCATCGTCATATACAGCCTACTCCCCTGCACCCCAAGATTATTCAGTGCAACTAACTGACACCCTAGCCAAGATCAGTCAGCTACAACGCCTCCCTCAAGCCACGCCAGATGTTTTTAAGGGTGATGAGACTGACAAGACTAAATTCTTCCTGTGGGAGAATTCTTTTGATAGTCTGATTGATTCAGCACCAGTGACAGCCCAACAGAAACTACACTTCTTGTACCAATATTTGGATGGCAAAGCCAAAAAGTGGTAGAGCAGCTTCAGTACTTAGTGCAGAACCCTGAAAGTGCGATCAACAAGCCCGCACAATCCTCAAGGAACGTTTTGGCCACCCAGCAATAATCAGTACCAGTTTTCAGAAGAAATTAACAACCTGGCCAAAGGTGGGACCGAGCGATGCAGCAGCCTTAGAAGAATTCAGTGACTTCCTTCAACAGGTGAAGATTGCAAGCGAACACATTTTGAGTCTCCGAGTCCTTAATTACCCGTCACAGATTCAAAGTCTTGTCGAAAAGCTGCCATCGTGGTTCAAGCCCAAATGGTCTGATAAAGTGCTGAAACTTCAGAAGAAAGAAGGCAAGGACACATTCCTTCATTTGCAGACTTCGCTCAAGAAGTGCGTTACCACGCTGAGCGTGTCAACATACCTCAAATTGTTCAAGCTTCAGGTTCAAGTGGTACACCACAGACAGACCGTTTCAAACCTTTGAACCGCCAACCCCGCCCTCGTCCTCCAGCTGTTAATCTGACCTCCACTTCACCCCCAGTAACAATGGCGAGACAAATGCTAATCACGAAGAACCAATAGAAATCTCCAATGTGCTTTCAACCCATGCTCAGCAACCGGACACTACCAAAGCTACTGCGGCTAACACGTATTGCTTCTATCACAAGATGAAGTCTCATAGCATGAACGATTGCGAACAGTTTCAGAAATTAGGATACTAAGAAGAGCAGAGATTTCCTAATGAAAAACAAAGTCTGTCTCAAGTGTGTTAATTCCAACAAACATGTTGCCAGAGACTGCGAACAAGACAGGCTAGATTGCAAGATATGTCGACAGAAACATGCCACTGTACTGCATGACCCATCCAGGCACAAAGTGATTAATGCCAGTGAAGCGAGGTCTGCTTGCTCACGAGTCTGCAATCAAGGGCATTCTGCTCGTTCATGCGCTAGAATAGTTCTCGTCGAAGTCTTCCATCAAGACAACCCTTCAGCAAGGATGCTGACCTATGCAGTTCTGGATGACCAGTCAACAGATGTCTTCATCACAGACACTCTTCTCGACCAGTTGCAGGTCAAAGGCCAGGAAGTTAACCTCAATATCAGTACGATTGCGGGCGTGAACACTGTGCGTACTCAGAAAGTAAACGGATTGCACATCAAGGACACAGACAGTCGACACAATTCTATTAGGATTCCGTTTGCATACTCACAAGAGAAAATTCCAGCTAGCCATCAGGACATCGCCACGCCCTAACATTGCCCAACTCTGGCCGCACCTTAAGGAGATCGCCCACCACATCCACTATCATCCCGGAGTAGAGATAGGATTGTTAATCGGTCGTAACATCCCATCTGCCTTTCAGCCATTACACGTTATATACGGCAAAGACAATGAGCCGTGGGCTGAAGAGTACAAGTTCGGCTGGACGATCATCGGTCCAGTTTGTCTAGACAACCAACAAGACAGTACGGTTTGTGCAACAGTTAACCGCATCACCGTACGACGAGAAGATTCTCACAACCTCTTCAATGTTCCAACGAGCAACAGTTCCAGAGAAGAGGCCGTAGCCTCTTTTCGCTTCCAAACATCAATCTAAGGATGTCACTACGCCCCAGCAGATAAGAGAAATGATGCAATTGGATTACAGTGAACTACATCATAGCCGAACCATCCGAGGCACTGAGAACACCGAGTCTGTCGGGGACAGACGTTTCAATGATCTTCTTACCACAAGCATCCATACAAATGAACTGGGCAATTGGGAAATGCCGCTACCACTGAGGACAGACAAGTTGAGTCTGCCGAACAACCGAGAACAATGCCTAAACAGGCTACTAGGCATAAAAAGAAAACTTCTCAAGAATGGCAAGGTTTTGAAGCAATATACTGAGTTCATGCAGAAAATGTTTAACAAGAACCACGCCAGTCTCGTCCCATCAGATCAACTCAAGACTGCCACAGGAAAGGTGTGGTACTTGCCTCATTTTGACATTTATCACCCCAAGAAACCTGACCAAATTAGAATCGTTTTCGACTGCAGTGCCATCTTCCACAACGAGTCTCTCAACAAACATCTGCTACAGGGCCCTGACATGATGAATGCCCTCGTTGGTGTGCTCTCGCGGTTTCGAAAGGAAGAGACAGCAGTGACATGCGACATTGAACAGATGTTTCATAGTTTTCACGTCAGCCCGAACACAGAGACTTTCTACGATTTCTGTGGTTCAAGGATAACAACTTAGAGAGTCAAATCGTAGAGTACAGCATGAACGTCCACCTTTTCGGGCAGTCTCCTCCCCAGGAGTTGCTAATTTCGGTCTCAGAATGACAGCAGAAGCCGGCAGAGAACAGTTTGGCAATGAGGGCCGCAGACTTCTTGAAGAACGACTTCACGTAGATGACGGGTTGAAATCTTTCGCCACACCAGCTAAAGCAATCAATGTCATCAAGAATACCCAAGCCATGTGCGCAGCAGTCAACCCACGCCTGCACAAGTTTGCCAGCAACAGTGAGACTGTGCTGGAAGCCTTACCTGCTGAAGATCGTTCCAAGGACTTGAAGGACCTCGATCTACGCCACGATGTCTTACCTGTCCAACGATCCTTAGGTACCTATTGGTGCATCCAGTCTGATACCATTGGATTTCGAATTGAGCTCAAGGACAAGCCTCTCACCCGTCGCGGAATTCTATCAACTGTGAGTTCAGTTTATGATCCGCTTGGTGTCATTGCACCTGTCATCTTAGTCGGAAAACAGTTGCTCCAAGAACTGTGCCGCGAAGGCATCGACTGGGACGACCCAGTTCCTGCCCACATCCGTTCACAATGGGAAAAATGGAGATCCGAACTACCTCTTGTGGAGACGATCAAGATAGCAAGGTGTCTCAAGCCACCTGATTTCGCCGAACCAGTTGCCGTGGAGTTACACAGCTTCTCCGATGCCAGCAACACAGGCCTCGGCCAGGTAACCTACCCACGTCTTGTAAACAGTTCAGGCCAAGTACATGTCAGCTTCCTGATGGGCAAAGCTAGGGTCGCGCCACTAAAGCCAATGTCAATTCCACGCCTTGAACTGACCGCCGCCGTGGTTGCTACTAACGTAGCCTCCATGCTCAGCCAAGAGCTTAACTACAGTAACCCAGTGAAATTGTTTTACACGGACTCTTCCGTCGTTCTAGGGTACATTCGAAATGACGCGAGACGCTTCCATACGTCACGCCGGAAATCGTGTTCAACACATCCGCGACAGATCAAACCCACAGCAGTGGCATTACGTTAGCAGTCCGAACAACCCAGCTGATATCGCGTCAAGAGGTGCCACCACCAAAGAGCTTTCTGAACACGAACTATGGTTCAATGGCCCTGAATTCCTATGGAAAAGCGAAGTACCGGTGATCAGCCTAGACCAAGTTGCGGATCTACAACACGAAGACGTTGAAGTGAAGAAACCTAAGTCCACCGTCTGCATTTCAAGCCATGAAGAAACCAAAAGCGAGGAGAAGGAGAGCTCTCACAGTATTCTAGAACCAGAACGCTTTTCGCCATTCATCTTCCCTCATTCGCCTAAAGAGGAGCATTGTGCGCATCCAGAGAATGATAGAACAGAGACGCCCTAACAGGCAGTTCAACACAAGGCCCAACACCGCCCCCCTTCAGTCGAAGAATTACGCTTAGCAGAAGAAGTAATTCTCAAGTCAGTTCAGTTCGAGCACTTCGGCAAGGAGATCCAAATCCTTCAAAATGCCAACCACCAAGATGGTATGTTCCAGGATCGCCACAGTGCTCATACCAGGAAAAAACGATCAAGAAGACAAGTTCTCTCTACAAACTGGACCCCTTCTTAGACAGCAAAGGAATCCTCAGAATTGGCGGACGACTCCTAAAAAGCGAATTAGATTATGGCATAAAACATCCGATCATATGTCCAAAGAAGAGTCACGTGACGAATCTCCTCATCCGACACTTTCACAGCAAAGAGCACCACCCAGGTTATGGGATGACCCACAACTCCATCAGGCAAGCAGGTTATTGGATTGTGAACGGTCGTTCTGTTGTCTCCCATCTCCTGTCAAGCTGTGCCATTTGCCACAAATTGCGCCGGACGAGCACAAGTCCAAAAGATGGCAAATCTTCCTGAAGAACGTGTGACACAAGCACCGCCCTTTACCTACACGGGTATGGACGTTTTCGCCCATGGTATATTAAGGAAGGCGAAAGGAATTGAAACGTTGGGGCATCGTCTTCACGTGCCTCTCATCCCGGCGATACACCTTGAAACCTTGAACACTATGGAAACAAGTTCATTCATTAACGCTCAGAAGATTCATCAACAGAAGAGGCAAAGTGCGCCAACTAAGATCAGATCAAGGAAGCAACTTCATCGGAGGAAGAAACGAGCTCAATGCAGAGGTGAACACTGACACAGTGAAGAACTTCCTATTAACACAAGAATGCGACTTCATCGAGTTCAAGATGAATTTCCCCAGCTCCTCACACATGGGAGGTGTGTGGGAACGCATGATACGAACAGTACGCTCCTCTCTATCTGGCCTCCTCGAAGATCAGTCAACGCAGCTAGGCGACGAAGGGTTACGTACTCTCTTCACTGAAGCCGAAAACCTCGTGAACAGCCGCCCGCTGACCACCGACAGCTTGTCAGACCCACAAGCACCTGAGCCGATCACACCAAATCACTTGCTCACTCTGAAGACGAAGGCAGTACTACCTCCGCCTGGCAACTTCTCTCGACCAGATCTGTACACCAGAAAGAGATGGCGCAGAGTTCAATTCTTGGCTGACCAATTCTGGCTCCGATGGCAAAGAGAATATTGTCTACAGCAGCAAAAGCGTCAGAAGTGGAACAAGACCGTCCCTAACGTCCAAGTTGATGATATTGTTCTGATTTGCGAAGATTCTTCCCAAGAAATGAATGGCCTCTCGCCAGAGTCACCCAAGTCTATCCCAGTGATGACGGACTCGTTCGCAAAGTCTCCCTCTTCTATACTGAATCCGAAATAAGAAGCTTCTGGATAGACCCGTACACAAGTTAATCCTTGTTCATCGTCCGAAGGAAGAGACGACTGATGCAAGTTACAGAAGGAAACTTCGATAGACCGGAGTACGACCCCGCCGGGAGCCAGCAGAAAGAATTACCCTCTTGAACACTAAGAACACTAAGTTTATTTTGACATTTATTTTATTGTTAAGTCATACATTTCACAATGTATGGGGAGCCATGTAACGCCTTCCCAGTTGTTTTGTTTAACACGTGACCCGGTCACGCCGCATCCGGTTTTCAGTTTTTGTAAGCTCGACTAGAGAGCGGAGTGTTTTTGGCAACGCCGCCCAACGCAGTTCTTTAGGCTTCGCACGAAGCATGTTGTAATAGCCATTACAGTCTTTGACGGTCCCTTCGGTCCGTTAACATCTTGTGAACCAGCATTAAACGGAACTAAGGATCTTGTTAGACGTTTTGGTCATTGTGGAGTGAACCTTTCAGAATTTCTGCAACGCATGTTGCCCTCGCGCCGCCTTCACCCAAAAGCGGTCGCTACAATAGCCATGCTCATAAAGTAATGCCATCTCTGCATCAGCCTCGTACGGAGCTACCACATAATCAATAGACTTTTGTCGGCAAGTCTATAAATGAAAAGAATAAAAAATTATCTTAACGAGGTCATTCAATTTTTAATTTAAAACAATACAATATTTAATTATTAAGAAGTCTAGAAAAAAATGTATTTTAAGCTTACTGAAATGATAAACTTTATGCCAAAATTGAGACTTAGACTTACTTGAATAAACCCACAGACGAGATCGTGGTTAATTTCTGCAGCTGCAGCCAAAGCGTTTCTTGCCTCAGTCACCTTTCCACTCTTACCGAAGTTGGTCAGCTTTTTGCTGTTGTTGTTTTCTTTGCCTAAAGGAAGAAGATTTATGGGAGATCAATGTCTGCTGAAAAAAAAAAAAAAAAAAATCATTTCTACTAAAGAAAATTAGACAAAAGGCTTAAATATTTGAACTGAGCTTCAACTGTCAATGCGAAAAAATTCTCTCACATTGCTCTGTTATCACGCTCTCTGTCCTTGCCCGGTAGCGGCAATCCGTTTAACACGACCAACGGTCGAATTTTATTCCTTTCCAGTAGATCCAGATAAGAATTGCAGATCTCCTTCACTCTAAGAAGTAAAAACATTAGTTAAAATGCAATACAAATTAAGACATAGTAAAACTTTCATATTAAAAGTTCTCACCTTCGATCGTCTCCGAATTGCGAATAACTGATCGCAATGGCCTTGTGTAACCAACAAGACGCATCTACGGCCGCCACGAGACCTTTAAAACTGTCTAAATAGCTGTTTTCAGTGACGTCTTTCAGAAAAGGAAGCAAGGTTTTAATTCCCATTCTATTGTCTCTGTATGTGCCAAGAGCTCGCTGAGATGTTCACTCGCTGGTGTCAAGCGAGAAATGAGCGCCGCCACATTTTTACCACATTTTTACCCATCACGTATTGCGGGTCGTGACGCACACCGCCTGAGGCTTAAGTGTCCTGCTCCGTTGATTTTGTGAAACAAAGGACGTAAACCGTTTCTTTTGTATTTCTCTTTGAACAACAGAAAGCAAAGAACGCCGACCAGGTTTTTTCATAGGTTATTTCTTGAAGAAAAAGCAGAAATTGTTAAAAAAAAATACAGAACAATATAATTTTTATCAATCTTAGTCCACATGCAACATATTGGGAAAATCGGAGCAAAATAAAAAAACGACCAAAAATTTCACTAAGGCCTTTCTTGCACGGATGCCTTCATTATTTTATTGGTATTGGTTGTTTTTTTTGTCTTTGAACAATAAACCAAACTTTTCCGCAAAATCCACATGTATCCCTACAGAGGAGAGGGGGTGAATTTTTAGCTGTCTGTCACGAGCAAACGCATCTTCATGGGGTACTTTTTTCAACACGAGGGTGTTTTTGTTCCGTTCAAAGGTGGGTTTCCAAGTAGATTTCCGAGAAACAGTGGCTGTATTGCCTTTGGATGTTTTCCAAGTGTCGAAGGTTGTCTTTACATCTTCCATGATGGTTTGTTCCATATGGGTCACACTATTCTGCCATAATTGATGACCTGAATAGACAGGATACGAACCACCCATCATGTGTTTGAGGGTCACAGCTTTGTCTTTGGACTCAAAGCTAATATTCCAGTCACTGGACAAAGCATAACGCTTGGTCAAGGTGTAGCGATATTTGAGTAACTTTGTGTCACTATTGCTGTGAATGACCGCAGAACTATGTCCTACATCGGGAACAGACACACTCCACAAACTGGCTTGCCAGGTATTGCCTTCTAAATTGAGTCGCACCACTATTATTTTTGTTTTGGGGGTGTTCATCCATTGGATCACTTATCAAGGTCAAATGAAAATCCTTCATAACGCTTGCAAATCTTTTTTCCACACCCAACTGTTGTATTTTTTTGGCCAACCCCTCCAAGACACAAAGACTTGTTTCCCTTTTCGTTTTCAGACTTGATCAATACGAAATAACGTATCATCAGGGACAATCACTTTTTGAACGTCCGCCTGATAAAACGTTCCTTTTATAGGAGTTTTGTCCCATTCCGTGAGCTTATAAGTAACCACCGGTTTTTAGTATAGATTTGTTTCACTAAAAACACTTCTTCTGTCCACCCTGGCAAATACCTTTTTCTAAATGGGCGAAATTTTTTATTTAATCTCACTTTATCTCCAGCTTGACATTGCGGTTTCTTCACTTTTATTTCTTTTTTGGTACCATATAAACAATACCAAATCTCCGTTTGGTTTTTTGAGGAAACATTGACAGGTTTTTCTTGAATACTGCGATGAAAAGTATGATTATACGTTTTGACTAAAGCAGGTAACACATCAGTATACTTGAGTGCATTATGCGCCTTAAAATAACGAAACATGTTCGTTTTCAATGTTCGATTCCATTGTTCTACCACTGAACCATGAGGGTCTCCATGTGTCGAAAAATGATTCACCCCCTGTTTTTTAAAAAATGCTTGCACCATAGCATTATAAAATTCACCGCCAGAATCTGTTTGTACTTTTTCAGGCCAACGATCCCCTAATGTTGCCCATAGTCTTTGTAAGGCCTCCACCATCGCTGTGGCGCTTTTAGTCTTTAACGGTTCTACTCATGCAAATTTCGAGAGCACATCAATCACCGTCAGTAAATATTTGTAGCCTTTGTTGTATTTGGCTAGTTTTTGCAAATCTACCAACTCCATGACAAATTGTTCGTTGATGTTAAACACAAGCGTAGGTAAAGTTTTAAAACGCCGACGTCGAGGTTTATGCAGTGTGTAACTCAGCACTTGTTGCAGTTCCTTCTTGGCTTGGGATTGAGGAATCTTGTGAGCTTTCGCAAATTTGGCAATTCCTCCCAGTGATCCAGGTTCTGTAGGATCGACATAAGAAGCAGATAATTTTGTTTCCATGGTACGATAGATACTGTCCTGCTAAATACGAAAATGAATACATGTTCTTTGAATAATGCTTCTTTAAATAGCGAAACACGGTTACTCCTTCAGAAGGAAAGTGCCAATGTAACCAAGTGATGTAAATTGCATAATGTCCCCAGGACAATTGGTTATGATACATCATAAATTTAAACAGAGCAATAGGATGACAAGTGTCTTGAAAGAAGGCAGAGTCTGCACAAATATGTTGGCAAATCCACACAGTACTTCTATACTGCAGATTTCCCATGACGGAATGACTGCTTTTAAAACAAATCACCCACTTTATACATGTCTATCGTCTAATTTTAGAAACAGATCATTCCACATGTTAGAAAATGTTCTAATCCCAAGGGGTTAGGGTTTAACCCTAACCTTATGAGCATTTTAACCCTAGCCCTAACCCTAATCCCAAGAGGCTAGGGTTTAACCCTAACCCTAATCCCAAGGGGCTAGGGTTTAACTCTAACCAAAAACAACTACAAACAAGTCCTTTTCAACGCTTTTATTTAAAAATTGACACATTTTATGGAAGCTCCTTGTTTGAGACCTTCAAGAAATTGTTCATGACACTTAGGCAGTTCAGGCTCATGATACACATTCACCAATTGAGCAAAAAAACGTTCCTCAACTGCCGTTAAAGGCAATCCCTTCTGCTTTCTGTTGCGGCAGTAGGAAGCTAAACTGCACACTTTTTCAGGCAAATAACCAAAAGGCCAGTCAACATACGCTGCTTTTGCGATGGCTGCTTCGTTCTTCTCATACTTTTCTGCACCTGGGGGAGGTTTCCACTCATCATGTTTGTTGGCTTGACAAGCTTCTAAATACTTTTCATCAGTAGGTGATAGCATAACACCTTTCAATTTTTGCTTCTGCAAATAGGATGCTAAACTTCTATCTTCCTCAGGAACTTGCTTTCTCCTTTTGATGCGAGCATGAAACTCATGATTGGCAATACTAACAGCCTCATTCCATTGCTCACGTTTCTTGAGCTTCTTGGCTATCTCTGGACTCCAATGAAAGGTGCTTGGCAGAGGGGTGCTCTTCCAAGGATACTTTGTTTGAGCTTTTCTTTGTTCTTCTTGCTTTTTGGCTGATTCAGCAAACTGGTTCAACCATGTCTGTTGCTGTACGTCTTTACATTCTGTTTGAGTTTGGGCATCTTTTTGCCACCCATTGCCTTGTTTCCACGTTTCAACATTGGCTTCAGCTTGTTGCTTCCACTCAGCTAGGTTCGTAGCATACTTGAGTTTATGGAGGGGTCTCTTATCGATAAACAGTGGTGTGTGAATCCACTGAAAATATTTGCAGCGGGTCGCAGCTGAAGCGGATGTTCCACAGGTTAAGAAGACTTTGTTCAGGTTTCTGGCCGTCTTACTAAGGCGTAGGATAGGAATTCGTGAGCAATGACATTTCAATTCTCCCCATTTGGTTCGTACTTCTACATGCATGTCTTTCTTTAAGGCATCATACACTTTCAGTTTGTCCAATTCTTTTCCATAAAATCTTGGGCAGAGTTTCTTTTCTTCAAAACAAGGAAGCAAAAATTGAGTGTTTAAAGGACCGCCAGGGCCGCCAAAATCTACGTTCATCATTTCAAGATCTTCTTTACGCGTTTCACAAGCCATCGCCACAGAGAATGTGATTTGAACAGAGATTGCCCCAATTTTATAAGACTCCTAAGGTCCCTAGGGTATTGGGCAAGAATCCCCAAGGGTGTTAGACAAGTAAAGACACGTTTTTAATCGGATCACAATGTTTAATGCATTCATTTTTACAGTTTTAAGGAAATTTAAATCCCCCTTCTTCTACTTTTGGTCGTTTCTCTAACTATAATCTTTCTTGTACCATCTCATGCATTCGTTTCTTGAGAGCTGAGGGTGTAGAAGCTTTAGGGACCTTAACAGGTTTAGGTGCTTGGTGAATCCACTGAAAATAATTGCACCTGGCTTCTCTCTCTTTAGGGCAGCTTAGGAACACTTTTTTTGGATTTCTTCGTGTTTGACTGAGCTTGAGTCTAGGCACTAATCCAGAGTGACACGCAAAGGTTCCCCATTGTTGATGGATTTTGGGATGAATGCTGTTACAAATGGTATCCAACACTGTCTGCATTGCCAAAGTACACGGGGCATGTATAACAATTGGCAAGTCCTTTTTCAGGCAGGACAAAGTTGGTATGCAAAGGCTTGCTCGCATCCATCAGATACTCTTGCAAAGCGACTTCATCTAAATTAGGAGGCCACCATTCCACTTGTCGACCATCTTGTGTCACAGCGACTCCTTCTTCTATGATATGCACGGGAGCTAGGTGAGGTTGTTTAGGCAAATCTAATGGTCTCTCTATAGGCCACCACTCCACTGTACGACCACCTTGTGTCACAGCTACTCCTTCTTCCAAGACTTTTACGGGCGCTAGGTCAGGTTGTGTTTCCATTGAACTTGGACCATTAAACACATCCTCACACATCATGTCTTCATAGGAAGGAAGCAATCCCTGTTCAAATACTGGTTGTGCATTCTCATTGACAATCACTTGGGGTTCTGTTTTATCAGAGATAAATTGATACTCATTAGGTGGGTTCATACTAGCT